GGCGACTAGGGTCATCCGTCCCTCGTTTACGAAGCACACACTTGGACAATCCCGCCCGCCCGAGATCTGCTGATGTCTTGCATCCCACCAAGGTCGACGCGGAGCTCTGCCTTAGCCCGAATCGCCCGGTGTCTTGGGCCAGCACGTTTCAATGAGGAACACATGGCCAGCCACACAGCGCAACCGCCAGTAGCTGCCAACCGGCGTTTATTTTTGGTCTACTAGCCTCGCGGTCGTGTCTCACTCCGTGGCTATCACACCTACGAGTCGATGAATGCCGGCGCCCCGCCCGTGTTGATGCGCGAAGCAGGACGGATCTGCTTCACTTTGCAAGGACGTTCATGCATCGCGGTGCTCACATGTCAAGTATCTTTTCTGCACCCCACAAAGCTGTGCCGCATCTCAACTCGACTGGCAACAGCGGGCTGTCTCGGCGCTCTTGTGGTTCGGCTATGTACGTGTGCACTCGTCCGCAAATTTACATTCTCATGGCGGCGCCGAGGGAGGCGCGCGTGGCCACCCACGGGTTCTCCTGCAAGGCAAGCTGAAGGCTGATCCGCGGCGGAGCATTTCACGCAACAGCCAGGCTGTCAGCTGGTCGGCTGTAGGGTGGCTACCTGTGTCCGTGATGTGCCGGACGCCGTCGACGGGCGCCACGCCCCTTCTCCGACGACAAGTCATAGATTTGGAGCGAAGGGACAGGCCTGTCTACGACTGGTCATTCAAGTACCCTCAACCCGATGGCAGGCAACGATTTTAGGCTTTCGAGAATATCATGTTGAGCGCGGAAAGCACTGGTCCAAGTGCCACCCAGAGTGTCAGTCGAGTCTTGACCTCAAGACGCTGCCTGCGGCCGCTGGGTGTCAAGGCACAACTCCGACCTTGGACAGATGACACACGAAAATCTCCCATGCTGGAGACGCACAATATCCTGCCCATGGAATGCCCCGTCCAGTTCTTTCAAGTTGTCGTCATCGAGAGAAGTCGCAACATGCCCGACTCCGACTGTGAGCGTGGCAGACAAGGGAGGAGGGGAACCCTGCCATAGCCAAGCACTTGCATGAGCTGCACAGCGGCTATGTAGGTCAAAGACCTTGTCCAATCATGCACGCTCTAGCCGGCCGGGGCAAGGCAGGGTTGCGCGAGCCGTGTCCGAATGGCAAAGACGCACCACGGCGGCCCACGATTTGCTCTGAAGGATGGCTCTCCCGCTCTGCAGCTGGGGTAGGTCAGCCACCTTCCCACTTGTCTCCCAGGATCTCTCGTCAGTGCTCCACACCGGTACCAGTTTCGGTGGAAAGCGGCGCTCTGGTTTGGTAGGGCCTTACATTAGCCTTCCCGTCCCTCGCCGTGCCGGATGCGCCTTTGTACGTCCGCAGCCTGACGCTCCGAAGCCAAGTTGCGATCTGCCCCGTTGGCGCTTCAGGGACTTGCGACATGACGGTCTCCATCTTGCCTGGACGGCAAGGTATACAATGTGGCTCGACGGCTTCCACATGCCCCATCATGTCACAAGCAGCAAGCCGGGAACAGAATTAGAGGGAGTCGCCGCCACCGCCGTCGACGACGGCGTTCTCGGCCCATTTGCTCTGGCGCGTCATTATTTATCGCCCAGCTCAACACTGGACAAGCGCCACAGCAGGGAGACCTTGGTTATCAGTCCGTCCAGCGCTACCTGTTCTGTGGGCGGGTTTGCGTGGCCAGCCTATCACTGTCAAGTGCGATGGCCGAAGTCACGGAGTCGTCGTACGAAGTACGAAGGTACGGCACGGAGTACCGGTGCCGTCGCTGTCGAACAAGTCGCTGGGCTCATCAGCCCAATGAACGCCAACCACGTCTCGCTCGCACACCACGATCTTTTCCACGCCACCGCGGCCACCACTCCAACCACCTTGATCCTTCGCGTCCATTGGTCTGGGTGGTCGGATCACGGAGCCTGCTGCCTTCGGTTGGGCAGCACAGGGACCATTTGGGCGCCCTCTCTGAGTGGCCAATGAGACGGGCGCCGGTGAGAGCGGCACACTTGTTGGACAATCTGCCATCGTCAAGTGTCTCGCATCGCATGCTCTCGGGTGAGGCGCCACCTGCAATCGCGTCATGATCCGTCGCGAAGGGGCTTGGAGACAAGAGGCAGCATGGAAGCGGCCGCCACGGGTCCGTCATCATCATGCGACACTCGTCGTCCGTACTTGTATCACCGACAGCGTTTCTCAGAGTCTCCCCTCCCCCTTCCCAACCATGGTATCGTCTCACCATCGGGTCGGCCCTCCCTGGGTCGAAGGCGGACCGCTTCAGATGGAAGGCCGAGATTGTTCGATCTCGTCGGAGAAGTCGGAAGGGTGGGGAAGCTTTGCAGCGGGGATGGCGCCTCTCGCGTGACGCCGTGGCGCACAGGCACGAAGAAACATTGTGGACTGGGCATGTTCGCAGGAGGCAGTCTGGGATGGATGTTTCGCCCAGTCTCTTCGGCCGCCCTCGCCCCGTCCGATACCCTCCTACCGCTGTGGGCGAGGTCATTTACAGCCCGGCTTCCCGACCGGTATCACAAGCCTCCTGGAGCGCTAGCAATCGACCCCGGCGCACCACGGGAGACTGCAGGCAAGCAGGGTCGCAGTGCCTCCGCGCGGACTGGACAACTCCACCGCTTGTCAAGCTAGCGTCTCTTTGGGGCCTCTTGCCGCGTTCTCGCAGCCTAGCTGCACAATACAATACCAAAGTCATCGACCGCGGCCGCGGGCGCAGGCGTTTGCGGCTACTTTGGCCTGCCATGCGTCTTCGAGTCGGAGCGGTGACGCCGTGGTTCAATTCCAGGCCGCACCGAATGACGACGCTCGCAACTGGCCATTCCCTTCACCGCTTCTTCGCCGTCCCAGTGGGCGTGAGGGCCACACCCCTCTGGACAGAAAGTATACCCTTGCATGGGTTCCTCGTCAGGTCCAGCCCATATCCTTGCCAACGCAACGGAGCCAGTCCCCACTGGGCGGGGGCCGACAAAGATCTCTCGAGCTTACAAGCACGTACGGGCCTTGTTCGGAGGAGTCGAATGAGCCAAGGACCTCACGGCCTGGAGGACGAGTTAATAACTGTCCTTGCTCCGAGAGTTTGCACCTGACGCTGCGCCATGGCATTGGTCGAGCCGAGCACGGCATGGCGGCGGCAATGCTGAGATATGGCCGGACGGTCGTCCATTACTGGACTCCTGTCCGCGGGCAAGAGGAAGTGCAGACGTTGAACCCGGCCAGTAGCAAAGCTGCGTCTGGAAGTGGGTTGCTGGATGCCACACAAGAATTGCACATTGCATGTACGACTCGGCAGCGGCACATACCAAAGTGGTTGTTTCAAGTCGTGCCGGCTGTCACGGAAACAAGCAGGAGCGGAGGCTCAGCTTGCAAGCTGGCATTGGCGACAACTTCTTCAGGTTCGAAGTCTCTCCACGAGGATATGCGCAGATCCTGGCCCCATGGTCCGGTTTGTTTTCGGCAGCAAGCTGCGAGCATGGGTATACCTACAGTCTCTCAGGCAGGAAAGTACATTGTACTTGTCCTTCGCACACCATCCTGGAAACGACGGGGAGGAGAGCAGCGGCTCTTCCGCCGGTACCCGTTCGGCGTCCATGGACAGTGTTGGGGCTGAAGGCATGCCATTTTCGACGAGTCTGCAACGGCCGCGGGAAGGGAACAGGCCACAATGAGCATCGTCCGCCTCCCCACCCGGACTTGGTCGACAGCAGGTCAACGGCAATCCCCGACGTTGCCTGTCTGGCGAATCCCGCTGCGAAGCGAGGGAACCATGCACGGAGGTTGTGTTGCATTATTGCGAGCTGCAGGTCCGCCATGTGCCAACGAACTGCTCGACACGTCCATCTATAGTTGCAGAGTACAGTGTTGAGTCCACGGCAAGCCCTGGGGACTTCCAAGGCCTGCACGCAGGTCAGAAACCGGCTGCACACACCTAACTGGGAGGCCGATTCCGCATCGGACAAGTCGAGGAGGAAGCCAGGACTGCAAGCATGATGCGCATATGTGCCCCAGGCTGCAGTAACTCGACGCGCAGCCCCAATTGGAATGGGGCGGCGTTTCGGGGTCGGCGGCATGCCATCAAAACGCATCGCACAGGGGTGCTGGACTCCGTGACGGGAAGAGCTCGGATCTTTGTCACCGGTGATGAAGCCCGGTCGATATCGAAGTCGTCAACCTGGGAAGAGGGACCGTGTGGACCACATGAACAAAGCTTCGCCTCAAATGACCCCGGCGGGTGGCCAGTGGGAGGGGTGTGAAGTACGCGGGCGAGAGAGGGAAAGAGAGAGAGAGACACGGGAGCACAGGCACGTTCGACCGGTGACTCGTGGACAGGCATGGCGACAGCACCGTGGTCCGTTCTCCGCACGGGCTCATCGTAAGCGAGCGTTGGGCGACGGGGTCCGTTCGGGAGGAGAGGGTGACGGCTCGCGAACGAGGAGACTGTAATTTCTGGTGGTCTCAACCTGCCACGAGAGGCGCCGTGGTTGGCCCCAGCGCATTGTCTTCCTTGCCCGGAGGTGACGACAAGGGTGGACGGCGGCAGCGCGCGCGGCGCTTGAGGGATAATAACAATGTCCTACTTGTATACGGAGGAGTATGGCCGCGTTGGCTCCCAGTCGGACCGGATGTGCAGGGCATATCAAGAGACGAGCGGAAGGTCAGGCTGAATCGTGGCTCATGGCCAGGGCCGCCTCCTGGTCAGGGCTCTGGGCTGTCTCGCCCGCTCGGCCTCGAGGCGAGTCGGCAGAATCGGGAGAGACGTGACCCCATGAACTGGCACGGACCTTTACCAGGAGCACGTCCGGAACGGAGGCACGGCCATGACGCCTGCAGCAGGGCGCGGCACCGGTTGCTGCGGCTGCGAGAGGAGTCGTACGGGAGAGGGAGCGCGAGTCGAGTTACACGAGGGCCAGGGATGGCCATGACTGATTAATTAACATAGCACTCGGGCAATATCCCAACAGGAGCCTGAGCAAGTACATGCGCATATACATACGGAGTACGGCGCACACGCGTACAGACAGTGCAAGAGGTGGTAGCCAGCCATCCACGGCTCCGTATGGGGCTGGGAGCACGGAGTGACGGGTGCATGAAGCCCTGTCAGCGGTTCATGTGAGAGTGGGAGGGGAGAAGCGAGGTGTTGCTGCCAGCAGCGGACCCAACAAGGGTCAGCCAGTCATTCAGTCATTCAGTCAGTCAGTCAGCCAAGGGTCGTCTCATCAGGGGGCACAGGGCCAGGGCACAGGGCAGGGCATGGCAGGGCTTGGGGAAGGCGTGGGAAGGGAAGGCAAGGCAAGGCGAGGCAAGGCGAGGCAAGGCAGGGCCCGCGGTGGCAGACCATCTCGGTTACCTGCCTGACATGCGCATCATGGCTGCAGAGCCCTGCGCTGCAGCTTCGCATGCAGTGTTTTTCCATTTGGCCCGGCCCCGTGCCGGGGTGGTAGTTCGCAGGGGAGGGGGAGAGGGGGGAGGGGCGCAGCGGCAAGCAGCGGCGACGGCGACGGCGACGGCGGCGACGGATGCGAGGTTGTGTGGTTGACTTTCTGCGAGGTAGCAATGGGTGCGGATATCCAGGACCTCGTTGGTGGTGTTGACCGTTGTCCAGGGTTGGAGCTGGTGCCGTGGTGGTGTGCCTGTGGTGGGCTGGCGGTGGGAGGTGGAGGAAGGGCCAGGACCGGGGAGGACGCAGACATTGATTGTGTGACTGATGGATTGACTGAGGGCGCGGGGAGAGGTTCAGTGTGCCGCGTTGTGGTGTATTTGGTCCATGATGCCTGCGAAGTCGAGGTAGGCGAGGGTTTCCATGGCGAGTAAGATGGGCGTCGATGTACTTGCCTTGCTCGAAGTCTCTACATACGAGCACTCAGGTTCAATTCATGAGTGGAAATATTTGTGCGCTTTATTCATTGCGACGTGGCGGTAGGTACAGTGCTCCTCATCGGTCCGTACCTACCCTTGTCCTGGGAATGACGAGGATCCATGAGGTGGTGAAGCTGCTGCTGCTGCTGTTGTGGATGCCCCGTCCAGGGCCTGGGCTGGCTGACAGGGCCTGTGGGGATGGGGGAGGTGGAGGC